TTTCTTTCTTTCTTTCTTTCTTTCTTTCTTTCTTTCTTTCTTTCTTTCTTTCTTTCTTTCTTTCTTTTGTTAAACAGCCAGATTAACATTTGGAAGGCAATGTGTGTGAGGGAGTGGGTGTCACTAGCAAATAATTTTCCTCTCTTTTAAAAATTATAAACACAATATAGTCTGTTTATAAGCATTGAAATAATAAAGGGGGAATATAAAGTGAAAAGTAGAAATCTCCTTCTTCCCCCTACCCATCTCATCTCACTCCTACATGCAGCCATTAATAGTTTCATGTTTGTCTGAGTAGAATTTTCTCTATGAATTCAAGAACCACATATTGAGATTCTATAATTTGTATTAGCCCTCTCATTTAAAGGTGAGAGTTTGGTACAAAAATGTATCTTATATCCATATTATCCTACAACTTGTTTTTTTTCATTTAAAAAATGTATTCTGGGTATTTTTTCTGTGAGTAGACTTTTAAACTTTGGCCATTCTTTTTACGTCCCATATAAAGTTTCATCATATTGACTGTACATTACATTATTATTATTATTATTATTATCAGTGTTTAACTGATCCTATATTGTTGAGCATTTGGATTGCTTCCAGTCGCTCATTATTACTCGCAGTGTCTCCTTGGATCTTTGTCTTTACTCATTCTGGTTGTATTTCTTTAAGACTGATTTCTGGGAGCAGAATTTTTAGATGGAGCAGATTATTAATACCTATAATGCCAGGGGAAAATGCCTATTTTAAAAAAGAGAGAATTTTCATTGAGCAACACGTGGCAAGATTCAGCTGCATATAAAACAAGACCACCTCCAAGATGTGTTCCTATTGTACCATTCTCAGTACCGACTACTCACTAGATTCACCTGGGGGAGAGGAGCTTTCTGAAATGAACCAGTCTTTAGATGCCGCCCTAACAAATTACATCAGAATCTCTGATGTTCGAGTCCAGGTATCTATATATATTTTTGAAGCTCCTTAAGCCAGACTAGGAGCCATGGCTCCAGTGACAGTGCTTTCAACGTAACTATGAACGTGACACGTTTGCTGTTGTTCTATCCGTGAGCGTCTAAACACATCTACCTAAATATATGTATTCAATATTCAAGCACATACATGTAAGGATGTACATGCACACCATGTATGTTTTATGTAGTTGGAATAATAAGACTTTTCTACCTTTTGCTTAGCTCTTTGGTATATTTGGCCTCAAGTTCTATCAGCTAGCCCAGAAACATAGTATGTGTCATGTAGAGTTCTGCATACCAATAAGGTTCAGGAGGATGATCAAAGAGACAAATGGGAACTTTAATGGGGGAATGGTGAGAAGTCCTAGATGTGATTAAAGAGAAGATAAAAGGGCCATTAAGCAACTGTGCAGAGTAATTTTTAGACTGAAAAATTGTAGACAGTCCTATATAAACAGAATCCATATAGGACATTAACTACCAAGGTAAATGACCCTTTGTCTCCTTGTGTATTTCTTCAACTTACAAAGTTTGGTTGGCAGATGGTGGAAGGATGCAGGGTATCTGAATAAGTGTGTGTGGAGAGAGAGTCGTCTTGTACTGGACAGGAGCTGTTACCTAAACACACTATATATATATATATATATATATATATATATATATATATATATATATATTTATAGTATAGTTTAAGATATATTACATGCATTCATATACATTATTTTATGTGACCTCTACATCAGTCTTGGAGAGAAGAAGATGGTTATCTCCATCACTCAGAAGAAACTGAGGCCGAGAGAGAAGGGGTAGGGCCAAGTTCATAATGCTCACACATGGGAGAACTGAAACAACATTGCACTTTGAATGTATGCATTAGTTGAATTAGCACCTAGAGTTTCTGATTCGTAGCCTATGTTCTTTTTGCTAATATACAAGTGTCAGCATTGGTAAACCATAGGAAGTGGTACAGACCGTGGCAATTAGCACTAAGTGCATTCAAATTGAAAAAATTTTAAATACTATATGAGAAAAAAATATCTTGGGCCAATTCAACAGACAGGCTTTCAACTGGTGACCTTAATTTTAGAAAATCTAAATTTTGAGTAATAGAAAACTAGAGGACGAATCTGCCTTGGACTTTGACAGCAGTATTTCCTAAACACACAAGTAAGAAGATATTGAAAGCAGGTTACAAATATAGGTAAGTGTAGTCTGAAGTAGACACCTTCTAGAATCTTTTCCTTTTTGTGTTTCAAAAATATATACATTAACACATGTATTTGTAATACCACTGCCTTCCAATCTCCTCTTTGTTAGAAGACCCTGACGTTGCTAAGCATGGTTTTGTCAGGAACATAACTTGCACGGTGGTCCAGGCATTGCTATTTTGTTGCCTGGAGAGGGAACACATTATGACCCATGTCCTCACAAGTTTGGATCGTTTACCCAATTAGTTAGTAATCATGCTGAGAATGCACAGGGCAGTGTGTTGGGATGAGGGACCAGTAATTGGGGAAGCTCTGGGGTTGAGAAGGTGGGAGCTGACTGAGGTTGGAAATAACTGGGAGAGCCAAATGAAGGCAGGGATGCCAAAATGAAGGCAGAGTTCGGACAAGGTCGGTGGGTGCAGCTCAGGCCCAAGCCCGAACCCTGAGGTTGAATTATTTTAACCTTACGCATCAAAGAGGCATTTTATATTTTTTTCTTTAGCATTTTTTTCTCGTGTTGTCTCAACCATCTTGTGAATTCAGTGGGAAGGTAGTCTTGGCTCTAGTGTTGAGATTAATAGCAACAGAAAGTGGTTCAATAAGTTGCCCAAGTACAACATTCATACTCCATCTGAGACCAGAACTCAGAATTCTGTACATAATTCTTATCTCTGCATCTCATACTATTTCAAAACTGGATGGGGGGCTGGCCCCGTGGTGGAGTCCATCTGGCTGCAAACTCTTCAGTAAACAGAAAGACTTGTGTTGTAGGCTCACATTTGGGGCATGGAGAGGAAGAGTAAGGGAACTGCTTCAATTCAGCAGGTGAAAAGGAAAATGAAAGATAAGTTGAAGTTTTCTGTGTGAGAGGGGAAATGTATTTCTCCCCAGACTGCCAGGGAAGGGAGGATATAAACATGGGTGTGGGTGTTGTTGTTAAGCAAAGCTGTTTGTAATCTTTGAGGCTGTTTGAGGAATGAGATCCATGTCAGAATGCTAAAGGCAAATAAACATTTTAATGATTTTTTAAACAGCAAATTCTGGGAACTATAGATAGGAACGTAATTTTAATCACACTCGACCAAGATTCTAGGACAGGCTGTTGATTAGAGGAGCTTTGGAGCCTGAGCAAAGAATGTGGTGAATTATAAGAGCAAACATGGGTTCACTAAGAATGAAATGGACAAGACTAACCTATTTCCTTCAAAAAAAAAAAAAAATTACCATGTTGAGAGATCATGTTGACCTGAATTTTAGTAAAGATTCGGTCAGAATTTCCTTTTGCAAAAATTGGTGGACTGCATACCAGCTATTAATTCTGATACATTTTAAACTTGCTGAATAATTAGTGGCCTTGAATTAATGACCATGAATTTGAATTCCATCTTACTTTGGGCGTTGGACTAGTCACTCCACCTACCTCAACTGTAAAGCTCAATATGTGCAGCCACTTAGTATATTCCAATACTATTCAAGTGAAAATTATCCCGGTCCACCTAGGGAAGGATCTCTGTTGGAATGCCACCTGATTCCACCATTGATTCGGTTTCACTGAACATGTTGACAAGTAGTTGCCTAAGTACATGCTTATGAAATTTTCAGATGCAGAAGACTCTAGAGGACTAATGATATGATGTTATAGAGAATCAATGTATCAGAAACCATTCATAAGAATTATAAATGAGAAAATGAAAAGAAATACAAGTCTGGGGGAAGGGGCAAGAGAGTCCCCATGGTTTCCCTCTGTGTAGAGTGAGGGAAGATGGGTGCTGTGGGGCAGCCAAGTCATCCAGGCATCCTTAGGTGGCCCAATATGTCTTGGAAGCAGAAGTCTCAGCAGGCATGTTCAAGAGCAGCCGCAAGACTCTGGGAAAAGAGCTATTTGGGGAGAAAGCTGCAATGTGGTGAAAAAGGACTGTGGAGAAGGAAAGAACATATGAAGTTGGAACGGAGGACAGATTTTAGCAGCCGTCCTGAGTCAGACACTTCGAAAAGGAGAGATTAACTGTGCAAACTTTTGAGAAGCATTTTATACGTTACTCCCTTTAAAGAAGAAACTCACAGTTAAGAAGTTTATATTCTTTCTCAAGATTTTTGGAGTTAAATGGTTATTTTTTTGCACACAGAACAGACTGGGCTATGTGGGGTCTCAGTTATACCTGGTTTAAATTATCATTACAAACTTTCACCATGATATAAAAATGCAAGGACCTTAGAATTTCATCCTGCCCTCTTGTTTTCTCACCTTCCCTCTTTTTCTTGGATAATCTCCTTAATTTCC